CCCGCGGGCTCAGGCAATCCACTCACCTCAGCCTCCCAAAAGCGCGGGATTACAGGCTGAGCCACTGAGCCCGGCTTGGAATATCTAGTCTTTTAGATAAAGTTCAAGTCATTTTCTCCCCCACCCTCCCATAGAACAGCTATACTGCCTGGTTCCCGGGAAAGAAAGATTGCCAGCTGTGTTGGCAGTCAGTTCCGATTTCTAATCCTAACTTTGCCATTTCAGTTTTTTATTTTTAGAGTTGGGGTCTTGCTCTGTTGCCCAGGTTGGAGTATGGTGGCGTGATCATGACTCACTAAAGCCTCGAACTCCTGAGCTCACATGATCCTCCTGTCTCAGCCTCCAGAGTAGGTGAGACTGCAGGCACAAGCCACAGCACCAGGCAAAAAAAAATTTTTGTAGGATTTCACTTTTTTGCCTAGGCTGGGCTTGAACTCCTGGCTTCAAGTGATCCTCCTGCCTCAGTCTCCCAAAGTGGTGGGATTACAGGCGTGAGCCAGGCTCAGTCATTATCATACCCTTTTCCTGGCCTAGACATCTTGGGGCCTCCCTAGAGATAGTGACCCCTAATTCCCTCTCCTGTATAATGTTCCAGGGAGGAAGCTGAGAGCTCTGAGAAGGAACATGAGGGTCAGCTGGGGTGGGGGAGGAAAGCAGGGGTCCTTTAGCCTCCAGAGGCCAGCCCAGCTAGAGAAGAGCCTCTCACATTCCCAGGAGAGAGGACAGCTGAGGTGAAAGCTGCAGTTGGCCGGCCTGTCTGTCGGCCGGGGCTCCTCCCTGCCGGCTGCCCTTGGCTGCCCACAGAAACCTGAGTCACAGTCACGGCCAGCCGCCCGACCCCACCCAGCCCACTGTCAAGCTGGGCGGCTCTGGGGAGACTAGAGGTGGAGCCTCTCCCTGCCTGTTTCGCAGCCTCTGAGATTTTTTCCTCTCTTGCTGGTGACTCCCCCTCTTGGCGTCTTCCTTTTGGGGACTCATTCTTGCAGTGTCATCAGTCCTGAATTAAGGGAGGGGGTGGGGTTCATCTCAGGTTGATCTATATGTCTCCTCCTTGCTCAAATGGATCTTAAAAGTCCCTTAGCTGCTCCAAGGGCTCTCAGTACAGTTTCCATCATTCTCAAATCCCAATCTCTCCCCACCACCTCTAGGGACCAGGACATTTAGGAACACCCCCTCCCTGTTATCTACTTCTTCCTAGAAAAGAACAGTGTCTTGTCCCTATCAGGGGCTCTAGACAAAGATTCTCCCTCCTAAGAACCCAAACAACTGAGCCCATTTAGTCCTGCATCTGAGTTCTTTTTTTTTTGGAATTGGAGGCTTACTCTGTCTCCCAGGCTAGAGTGCAGTGGCACACCACCGCAGCCTCGACCTGCTGGTCTCAGGCGATCCTTCTGCCTCAGTCTTCCAAGTAGGTGGAACTACAGGCACACACCACCACACCCGGCTAATTTTTGATTTATTGTAGAGATGAGGTCTCACCAAGTTTCCCAGGCTCATCTTGAACCCACAGGCTCAGGCAATCCTCTCACCTCAGCCTCCCAAAGTGCTGGGATTATAGGCCTGAGCCACCATGCCTGGCCTGCATCTGAGTTCTTCCCCAATCCCATTGCTCTCTGTTCCTCCACCTCCCCAAGGGCTGGAGGAGGAGGGGCTGCTGGTGTCACCACTGCCTGGAGGACACTCCCTACTCCCAGCTCCAGAGAGTGGGCCCTGGAGGCTGCAGCTCCCTAGGAAAGCTAGTGTGGGTTAGAGACCACTTCTTGCTGCAGTGCCTTGAGGGTGCAGTGGGAGAATGTGTTGTCTCTGTTCTCTAGGCTGCCCCCACCATGAGGCCCCACCCACTTCCTGCAGGACTTTGTGGGTGTGGAGGCAGCACCCAGGACCTCCCATCTCCTGAGAGATTCATATCTCTGTCAAACCTCACAGTGATTTCCTTCACCTCTCCATTGGGCTCATCCTGGACTCTGCTCCACCAAACCTAGGAGGTTGTTAATGCTCTTGCCTTCCTCCCCCTAGAGGAATCAGGATGGGGACTTTCTTTTTTTTTTTTTTGAGTTGGAGTCTCACTCTGTCGCCCAGACTGGAGTGCAGTGGCTGCTCCAGGCCACCTCAGCCTCGACCTGCTGGCCTCCGGCGATCCTTCCGCCTCAGCCTTCCAAGTAGCTGGAACTACAGGCGCGCGCTACCATGCCCAGCTAATTTTTTAATTTATTGTAGAGATGACATATTTTTGATCCCCATTCTCTATGACCAGCCCCTAGCCCCAGCCCAGTTAGTGGTGAGACTAACAGCTCACTTATGTCTGTTTTGGGGCTACAGGGGAGGCTACAGAGTTCCCTGCCCCTTGGTGGAAGACGGCAGGGTATGCTGTTGGGGCTTCAGCCCCTGATGTTAGGGCTTCAGTCAGTGCCCCACTTACTCCTTCTCTGGGATGTCTAATATTTGTGGGGCCGTGTGGAGCCCCATACATTGTCACCCAATCCCAAAGTTAGAGAGAGACATCCTCTTGTCTGCTAGGGCCTGGGATCTGTCATGGATCCTGGCCAGTTAGGAGGAGAATGGAGAGGAGCCCACTTCCTCTGTCTACATACAAGACTCCATCAATCCCGGGATACTTGTGTGTACGAGGCTTCCCTTCAGCCATCCTCCCCGATTCCCTGTGCACTCATCAGCTGTGCAGGAAACCTTCCAGGCTGACCAGGAGAATGTTCCCTTAAATTGCCTAACTCCCAGATACTCTGCTGGACTCCAGCACCAGCAACTTTGAAGGGGGTTAAAGTGCCTCCACCCTTAGTCTAGGGAAGGGTTCCATAGTCATTGTACTATAGACATTTTGCATCTGATAATTCTTTATTGTGGGTGGTGGTCCCATGCATTGTAGGATGTCAAGTGGCATCCCTGTCTTCTATGCACTAGATGCCAGGAACGCTCCAAGTTGGTCTCTAAACATTGCTAAACATCCCCTGGGGGATAGAATTGCCTTTGGTTGAGAACCACTGGTGTAGGCTAATACCACACACTGTCTCTTGTCAGTGAGCTCCCAAAGTCAACCTCAGATAATTAAACCACAATAGGTTTCCAATTGTAAAGTGCCCTTTACCCCTTCCCTATTGAAGAACCTCATGATCTTCACAGTTCCCCACGTTCTATATTTCCAAGTTAACAGGCATTCGAGTCCTCCTACATGGGCCGTCCTCAGCCTATCTGTTCCTTTCTAGCTGCCATCTCTCCCTCCTCTAGTCTTGAGCGCTAGCCACTGTGGGTATCTCACTATTCCTAACCATCCATCTTTATCCCTACAGGAACTTCAAGACCAGGGGTGGCAGATGAGGGAGGAACCATCCCAGAGGGTTGGGTTCTGTCCCAGAATTCTCTTGAGTCTAGTCCATGCCTGGCTCAGGGTGGGCTTGTCCAGTTCTACAAGAGGCAAGCCTTGAGGTCTCTGACTTTACAAAGGACTGTCATCAACTCCATCATCCACATGGTACCTTCACCCTACAGAAGGGATGGCTGACAATAAAGATGGGTGCTCTGTTCCTCATCCTAATCTGCTTTTACTCCACCAAAGTCTTCATCATCATACTTATTTATTGAGCACTTCTATGCCAGGCTCTGCGCTAAGCACTTCATCTGCATTACCCTGTTGAATCTTTACGTGATACCTCATGACACTATTATTGGGTTTCAGAAAAGTTAAATCACTAGCTCAAAGTTACCAGTTCCAGCTGCAGGCCTTCTCCATCATCTAAAGTTTTGGGGCTGGAGGGAACACTCTTCCCTCCCCAGGCCCTCCCAAGAGGGTCCAAGCTTCCACCTACTCCCACCTCCCAGGACAGGCTGCTCCCAGGTTGCCTGAGACCCTGACCCTTTTGTTCCCCATCCTCTCCCTCCAAATGACTGCTTTCTGGAGCTGCTAAAAGGAAGGCAGCACTGGCGGGAAGAGGAGCAGGCGGGTGGTGAGGGGGGTGCCTAGCAGCTCACTGGGCCTAATCTCTGGACAATGGAGAACTAGGGAACTGACCCTTCTGGAGGTCAGGACAAAGGGCAGGGCCAGGATGGGAAGGCTCAGCCGCCCCTCCTCCTTC